TTAGGCAGCCGCTAGAGCAGTGTTTGAAATTGCAAATCTAAAATGAAAGCAAAGTTTGCAGTGCATAGTGGGTATTCTGTGAGCCAATACATCCCTGGTTCCTATTTCTTTTTGGTGGCGATTTAGATTTGATGACAGGTTTAGAATCCACTTATAGAAATTGTAAAGAAGAACAAGAGTGGAATAAAGGTTAAGAAAACTATTTTCTGAAATAAAATGCATTGCCATGTAAAGATTATCTTTTCCATTCATATGAGAAAGTTGCTCTATCAGTGCTATTTTTCTACACAGAAAACTGGTATTTAATACTAGGTGCTGTAGGCATGCATAGTGAATGGATAAATCTCACTTGGCCTTGAACATAAGTAGATTATCTGAAAAGTTATTTCATTTTCCCTTTTATAATATTTCCAGTAACTGCCTAATGTTAGCATTTTTGCATGTATTTACTCCTTATCCCCATTTACTAAACTCCCTTGCCTTTGTATACTTAACTATCATTTTGTTCTCTAGCATCTTTCCAATTGTCAGTGAACATTCTTAATAGTCGGTGCATCGGGCATTGGCATCCATTTCTGACCTCCCTTTTTACAAATACACATGCTTAATAAATTGTACAAGGAATCTCATTCAATGTCTTGGGGAATTATGCAAATGAAAGGCTATATTCTCCTCCCAGTGGGCTCTCATTTGCATATGCGTAACTCATGTCAGCTTGAACTCATAAATCCCCAAGATGAAAATACATCTCTAGTGGATTCTGACAAAAGGCTTTCTTAGAAAATGTTAATTAACTACCCATCAAATCCGGGTCATTTAAAACGATTAGAGGGGGAGGGGGAGGAGTAAATCCATATACTGTTGGCTAGATGCAACTGTGTCTTTTGAATAAAAGATAGTCCATGAGCATTGTAGAGTATCAGCCTTTTTTAGCCACCCTGTAATAATATTGAGCATAGTAATATCTAACAGAAAACTAGTTTAGACTTTACATTTCTTGGCTTACTTAACAGAAATAACTCCTCATGTGTGCAATGTGAGGAGGAACTAAAGTGATTTAGAACTGGCTGTATTGGGGTGGGGTGGGGGGTGGGACTCAGTTCTGAGTGACACCAGCAGCGAAAAGAAGCTAAGGAGATCTGGCTGGTTGCAGTTTTGTATACAGTGGTACCTCAGGTTACAGACACTTCAGGTTACATACGCTTCAGTTACAGACTCCGCTAACCCAGAAATATTTCCTCGGGTTAAGAACTTTGCTTCAGGATGAGAACAGAAATCATGCTCCGGCGGCACAGTGGCAGCAGGAGGCCCCATTAGCTAAAGTGGTGCTTCAGGTTAAGAACAGTTTCAGGTTAAGAACGGACCTCCAGAATGAATTAAGTACTTAACCCAAGGTACCACTGTATAGCCTGGCGGCGGCGTGCTACTAACCAAAGCTTGTCCCTTCTGATCTAGTCTTTCTGGCTCATTTGCAATCTTAGTATTGCTACAATGTGGGCACTTCAGTGGACATGCCAGAGGGCAGGGGGAACTGTAGGTTGATTGTGGCAGTCCCTGCCCCAACCTACATGAAGATCAGGCTACATCCTAAATATGTAGGATATGTACAGTTGTAAGGCTCCACTACTGGGGGCTTAGAGTAGGTGGGGATGTGGCTGGTGCCCCCCTCAGGGTGTGTGGCATGCATCCTGGGGGCGCGGTACACCGCCCGTGAGGGCGTGGCGGCATTCTGGGCGCATGATGCGCCGCCTGTGGGGGTGTGGCACCTGCCATGTGGGAGGGTGTGTGCGCTGTGCGTGTCCGGGGGGGGGGCTGCCACGATGGCACCCTACTGGAATAGTGGTGCCGGGGGCATCCGCACCCCCGTTCCTCCGCCAGTGTGTACATGAGGACTTCTCCTATCTCCTCCTCCTCTGACCTGGCCCTGAGAAGGAGATCAGAAGCGGTTCCTAATGTTTTTAACTAACTGCAGCTTAGAGTTATGTCCAAACACAGGCAAACTGTCTTAGTCATAATTACAGTTTACTGAGCGAAGTCAACTTCAAACCAAGGGTTTGTGGCTTGTTTCAATAAGCTCTATTTAAGATTAACCATAGTTTGGGTTTGGAGATAATTCTAATTGTAAATGAAAGTGAAAGTTTCTTATCCTCACAACTGGATTATTGCAGTGCACTCTATGTGGAGCCACCCTTGGGGTTGATCCAGAGGCTGAAGGTGTTGCAGAATGCAGAACCTAGGTTCTTTTGGCCGGGGGGGGGTGAACTATCACTAGCATATAACGCCTGGCTTGCAAAGTTTGCACGGCTGCCAATTTGATTCTGGGCCAAGTTTAGGGTGTTGGTACTAACATATTTCTTTCTCTCTCCTGCAAACACAGAACACAAGCTACATGAACTTGCTGTCTTCTTTATACAGACAAGATATCAAAGCCGTGAAGTGGCTCTTGTGTCTTATGTACACAGATCTGGTGCTTAAATAAGGAGTGGATGTGACCAAATGAATCTAATTACCAACTTCAATATAATTATTTCCCCCTAAATGCTAAGAGATTGTAGGAATTTACTAACATCCCAATTTAAACTATATTCCAAAATTAATATGTTTTTTTTTAAAAAAAATGCATAGAAGTCTCTTTTAGTGTCAGGTTGAATACCTTCTCTAGCACCTTGTTATGTTGTAAGATTGTTATTTTCAAAATAATTGATATCATCTATAAAATAATTTCAGTGCTTGAAGTAAGCTAAAGCTAACATAACCCACTGAGTAAGAAAAAACCTTCCAGAATTGTCAGTATGCGCTCCCTTTGCGATGTTTAATAATTTATCAAGCCTTGCTGACCCCTAATTGATTGCAAAAGCCAGCAAGTGTTTTAGAAGTCTCTTCCATTCTATCAAACTAGATGGATGTTTTTTTCCTGTGAAGCAGAATGTAATCACCCAGAAAAAAATCAATCAGCAGCTGTATGTTAGATATGAGTGTAGTACACTTAGGCCTTCATTCGAAATGCCAGTAGGTGGTTGTTAATTGAGTAGTTCCACTGACTTTAATGGGATTATCATATGAGAGTTGGTTGCAGAATCATTCCATGCATTATTCTCATCTTTAAACAGGTAAAAAAGAGTAACACTCACAGCAGTGAAATATTGATATTTCGTAATGCACCAATTTGTTATATGGGATATAACTGCTGCTGTTTCATGTTGCCACATAAGGTCTTAGCTACTTTAAACACACAAGGATGACTCGTGGATCTCTAACAGTTGGATAAATTAATCAATTTAAAACTGGGTGGTCAGTGAATCACTCAAATAGTAACCTATCAAAGGAACAGAATTTGGTTCTCAAAAGAAAAACTCACACATTCATTTCTGCTTTCTCTCTGCTTCCCAGCAGGACATTTGTCCCATTAACTCCCTCCTCCCTCCCATTTGTTTCTTCCAGGGTTTGTTAAGCCACAGTTTCCTGTTACTCCCAAACCATGAAATTATGGTTTAAGGACTGGCTACACACCAGGATTGGAAACTGTGGTTTGATCCTGGTTTGCAAACCAATATTTTATACTGTTTACTTTATGCTGGTCTACGACCATAATAAACTGTTGTTGTTGTTGTTATACCATTTACCAGTCCAGCCATGAGATAAAATTGTGATTAAATTAGTATTTAACTAAGTATTAAAATACAAATTTTCATGCAGATATTTTTTTAAAAAGCTGCAGGTTAATCCAAAACATGACAGGATGGATTTATGAATAGGCACATACAAAATGGAAATGGACCAGAAATAGCCATCCTTACCTGTGTTTCTTTGACAGTGTTGGGGCCATAGATATGTGACCAGAGCGTTTCAGATGCTACAGTGGCCTTGACTTGGTCTAAGTTATGTAGCTGTGCGCGCGCGCACACACACACACACACATATATAATGAATTCAGGAGAACAGAGTATGTTACATACTGTCATATGGCTAAGCTTTTCATTCAATTTCTTTTTGTGGGTTTGGATCAGGCATGATATATAGCCAGTAACCCTAATAGCTTCACAGCAAAGTAATATACAGTGGAGACAGACCTAACTGGGTAGTGTAGCATATAAATTATTTCAACACAATGAGCACACACAGTAAAACTCGAGGGAAAGGGAGTTCAGAGAGGTTCTTCTTCACATTGAAGTAGCATATGATTTAGTGATGCTTAGTTGCTGCAGACCTTGGATATACTCCCTGGTGACCTAGATGCGTGGAAAAGCTGCTTTGTTTTTTGTTTTTGTAAGGATTTGCACAGTTGTTGGTCTCTCAGACTCACTGCCATACCTACCAGCCCTTAACACAAATTATGTGAATGTTCTATTCACTTTTAAGTAAAAGATAAGCACATTAGTTTTCAAAAGCAAGTTCTGCCTCTGGCATATCTTATCACTCACTGGGATTGTTTTGAGAAATGCAATATAATTACTTATTTTCTGTGTATGCCTTCCCATGTACCCCATTGCAGAGTATAGTGTAACATAGCTGCCTGATCAGCTGTGTTACTGAGAAGTCTTCTTGGTGGGGAAGAGAAAGCTGGTTTTATTCACAAGACAAGCATATGGCTAGAATGAAAATGTGGATTCTTCTTCATTTTAATGGAACATTTTATACCAGTTTAGACGCAATCCTAAGTGCATTTACTCGGGAGTAAGCCCCTTTGAAAACAAGGGACTTATACCTTGGAGTAAATTATTCTTTATTCTTATTAGTATTAGTATTAACTAAACTTATTCCTCAGTTGAAAAATATACATGAATAAATACATTATACCATAGAAAAAAGATGGGGAAATCATGTAACTCCAAACAACATATGGGAGGCCCCCCTCCCAGCAAATAGCAGTATGTATAAATATGTATATGCATACATTGTTAAGCTTCTAACCTGTTGGAACATAGACTCCTAGAAGTTGAGTAGAGTTGAAAGGGACCCCAGAGGGTCTTTAACCCCCTGCAAGGTAAGGAATATGCAGGTGGTTCATACGGGGATTGAACCCACAACCTTGGTGTTATCAACACCATGCTCTAACCAACTGAGGTATCTGCCGCCGAGGCCATGCTGTGGGGGATTTGAACGGAGTGGAGGCATCCTTCTGTTCAGCTCTGCTGGCTGAGCCAGCCAGCTTCTTTCTGGCCACAAAACATGCAAATGGGCACGATGTTTGCTGGCAGTTTCCCCACTGGCAGAAGTCAGCAGGAACACCCAACGTGAAGCATTCTGACCCCAGCCGGACTCATTGCTGTCACATGGTGGCGTCAGACCTAATCCAGACCCAATCACTGCACCAGCCTGGAGCTGGCTGGCATGGTTATCAGGCCTGATTCCACAATCCTGATTGCATTGTGTTGATTGGTAGGCTGAACAAAATGGCATTTGAGGTTTTTCCAACCATCTCCATGACAGTATGAATCTAGAGGAGGAGCCAGGAGAGTCTGGTTCCACGATCACTTAAAAGTCAGTAACTTGTGGAAAGGTGGAATATACTCAAAAGAAATAAACGAAGGAAAAATGGACATAGCTATTCAATGTACTATTTGAAGAGAGTTGAAGCAATCTTTCCTGTCCATTACTGAGCATAATGTCATTCTGAGGACGGAACTGCTTTGAGGTCACATTACAGATAGGAAAGTGATTAAGTAATTTGATTGACATTCACATGGAAAGGTTAGGTTAGGTTCAAGTCCAAAAGGTTTAAAATAGTGCAATATGGCATTTGCTATTGATACACCAACTGAATATTCTTTACTATAAAATTTTTACTTAACATTTCTGAAGCAATGCAATGAATATTTGTGTTTAATTGCATCTGTGTTTCATCTTTACTTTCTGTCTTTCTTGTAGGAATAATGTCTGATCACCAGTTTGGAAATCAATTCATGTGCAGTGTGGTTGCATCTCACGTAAGCCATCTACCAACAACAAATCTCAGTTTTGTTTGGATTGCCCCACCTGCAGGAACAGGCTGTGTAAATTTTATGTAAGTGTCAAGATACTGTTGCTGATAATGCTAAGGTTCTTTGTAGCATGGCTACAGGAAGTAAAATGCATGTAATTGTTTCAACCATGAATCTCAACATATGTGGAAAGATTTATCTCCAGTGAATATTTGGTATTGGTAAAAAAGCTAAGCTACCAGTCTTACAAATCAAGAGGCAGATTGCCTGTGTTTTGTCTATGATGGGTGGTTCATAGCAGATGCATGGAGAATGGTCAGTTTTGCTCTAGTATCAATTGTTGCACAACAAGCTACCTTCATTAGTTATATTTATAATTTAATAACACTTGGGGTGGTAACTTTCTTGGCTTACAGAGGAAGCTCGTGACAGTTTTAGTACAGTCTTGGAGATAGTTCAAACACTCATAAATAGCTCTATGTAAAGCCAAATAAAGGAAGTGATCTGACCTAGCGCACCAATTGCTGCCAAGTGAAAATTTGAGTGCAGTGGCAAAAAAATGTACTGCCACACTGCTTGAATTGTTGCCAGGAATTGGCAGACATAGATCTGTAAACACACTGAGTAAGATGATGCTTTTTTTATGCGTCTGTGAGGCCGTGTGGACCTACATATACATTTCTCAGCCAGCCCAGTGTATAGGATGAAACTGCAAACTGAATTTTGTCCTAATCAACTGAATTCAATTTGCAGCTTCGTTCTACAAAAAACAAGTAAAAGGTGAAAGATTTATACGATCTGAAGAGAAACCAGAATACAAGTGGGCCTCAGTCTTGTTCTCTGCCACCCCACCCCTGCACACTTGCATGCACACACGAGCAGACTTATACACAACCCTCTGTGACAGAAAGGTTTGTTTGCTGGGCAGTTTGGGTCACCAAGTGTTTTTTTTCCCTGCCAGCAAATGGTTGACTGTCAACAGCGTCTGATTGGCCAAAGTTCCAGGGGAGGGAAATGATTGGTTTGGAGAGGTTAGACAGGTTTCAGGTTGGGAGAGAGGGTGAAGGGGTTCTGAGGGGAAAAGGAGATACTCACTAAGGAGACTATCCATAGGGAGAGGACAGAGCCTCGCAGCTGGGATAGGGAGACCAGGCTGAGGGTCTGGGGAAGGTATCCAGACAGGAGTGTTCTGGGAGGGCTGATTCTGAGCCAGGAGAGACAGATCCGGTGTCTGCCTGGGTGTCAGTCTAGCCAGGAACGGAGAATTCTTCTAGGTACTTAAGACTCCCAACCCAATAACAAGGAGAGAGGGGATCCCCTGGGTCTGTAATACCATTTATAATACCTCAGGTGTGGGATTGTTAAGAGGGGGGGTAACTGAGGAAAAATGCCCCTCACTCATGAACCAAAGGATTAAGCTGTGAAGGAAGCAGTATAGTGTTGAAAGTGTGACAGACACTGATTTGAACATTTTACCATCTTTTCTGGAAACCTGAATATTTATCTACCTGAAGTGTGCCGACTGATGTTTAGTTACTGAAGTTTAAGAAGAGTTGTACCTATAATATTGTGTTTAAGCCTGAGACATCTTATAGTTAAAGTAACTAAGTTTAATTCTACCTGAAAGAACTCGTTTCCTGACCCACTTTGTGTCAAAAACTCCCTTTGTTTAGTAAAACTTTTCGTATTTGTTTGATCAACTCCTGCCTTAGACTCTAAATCATTTAGTTTTCCCTCACACAAGTCCCGCACTAGATAATATGGGGTAAATTGTAGGAAATCGTGTAATTGGTGTACCGTGAAGTGGTCGCACTAAATTTAATTGAGAGCTGGCCCAACGGCACCAGGGTGAGAAAGTGCCTTTCCGCTGTCTAACCCTCACCCCTCTTCAGGTCTCTCATGCAGATCTGCTGAATAGGTGGGGTTATTGGCCACTTGTCAAATGACTGATTTGATGACTAGGGCAATTTGCATCTGTCAGGATGCTGATGTCTGCTGTCCGCTGTCTATTATCTCTACATTGTTGTTGTTTTATTTCTGCCGCTGTTACCAAAATTTGTGGAGACTTGTAGCACCAGAACAATTTGCTTGGGGAAACTGGATGAGGCCCCCACACTGAGAGTTAGTCATCCCTGGGATAAATGATGCAGTTGACAATTCTTGTTGTTAGTCCAGTCTTCAGCGTGTTATGAAGTTGGTGCTTTGAATCCTAAACTTGGATTTTCCACTGGCAGAGACCTCCTTATGGGAATTGCATTCTGTTTCTGGTATCCATGCCAGTGTAAAATACACATGAACACTTCCTCCAGAAAGGCTTTGTCAACAGCCTATTACACACTGGCACAATGCCAATCTGCAAGTGAGTTGTGGTGGATGCCAAATCATGCAAGAAACTTGAAAACTGTTTCAAAGAATTCAAGAGCAACACAGAGTCACTACTGCAGCTCCCTCTTATGTTTGGAACCCTCCAGTATATTGGACGTCCCTAAGTTTTATGCACAAGAATAAAGGTGTGATCCCACTAAACTCCCATTGACTTAATGCATCTATTCACACTAAGGTAACCCAACACTATTATCTTGCCATTGCAGAGAAATGGTGGCTTGCTTAAGTTTATGGTTGAACTCAATAATAAATAAAGGACTTCAGCTCATTCTCTTGGCCACTAGATTACACTAGCATAAGAGATTTCCTCCTCACCTCTATAAAATGACAAGACTTCACTCCCTTTATATTGCTATCCTCCATGTTTTATCAGCTGACAACTTTGTTTTGATCCTCTCCAGCTTGCAAGACTTGGCATAAAACGTAGTAAATCTCTCCTATTAGGATCATCAAATCTACAGATAGCAATTCTTATCTTTTGAGTGACCTGGCTTATGTGGGATGGGGGGGATGACAACATATTCTGCTCTTCATTGGGTGGGTGGGTGTGTTTTACGATATATGAATACTTACTTGGTTCTGTTACATTATGCTATATGACAGAGACCTGTATATGCTAAATGATATCACAGTGTACCACTGTGTAAAATAAGAAGTTTGTGTTTACTTCAATACGTGGTCTAGAAACAATACTGTCTTCACTCATGCAGGCCCGGGTTGTTGTTTTTTCATTTTCTCATTTTACAAACTTATAACGATACAAATTTACACATCCAATTTAAGATACCAAATATTATTATAAACCCCTCTCCTCTTTCTGCAGTTGCTTGTCAAAACATTTCACCACTGCATATACAATTTAAATCTATTTATTATTCGTCTTTTATACTCAATTTTAATTATTTTATTGCTCATTTGCAATTCAATCCTGCTAGCGTTTGAAGCTGTTTATGATAGTTCTTCAGATAATCCTTAAATCTTCCCCATTCTAAGTTAAAAAGTCTCTCTTCTTGATTTCTTATTCTTCCAGTAAGTTTCTCCATTTCTGCATACCATGCAGGTCCAGTTTCCAAGGTGATTTCCAAAGGAACTAGCATGCCTACAACACAGCTGAAAGTGGACATTTCCAGTCTGCCTCAGTGATAGACTGATTGTGCCATAATTACATGGCCAAAAATCACAGCAGTTGGGGGAGATTGTTGCGAGGCCTCTTTCACTCTGTATAGTGCCATCCATTATGCTTGTCAAAATTCATTTTGCTGCTGTAGTGAGGGCATTTCCCTTTCCCGTACCGTACATAGCATGCAAATATAAATATATGCACATTTATTCTATTATTGAAGAACAAAAAGAAACAGGTGCATTGTCAGGGAGCTTGTACCCAGGTGGTGAAATAATGGTTGCTGATAGGTTTATTTTTTATTATTTTTTAAAAGCATAACACCTTCCTTCATTAGACAATACACTCTGTTCTTCTGGAATAGCCAGAGAATTTTATGTAACTAACTGCACTGACAATAAAACCACATAATAATAATAATAATAATAATAATAATAATAATAATATCTTTATTGTCATTGCCCCCTTCGGGGACAACGAAATTACTTGACTGCTCCATAAAAACACTAATTAATCAATACAATATAATACAGCAAGGGAGATTAGATGACTTTCAAAGTCCGGGCTTCCCATTCAGGGCCGAGATCGCTCTGGAGAAGAAGCTGTTCTTAAGATGGCTCGTTCTTGTCTTCATCGTCCTGTATCTC